TTGGTTCGTCTTGGCTACGACAGCTTCTCAGACTGTCCTTGCTGTTGATGACATTGACAGTTTTGGGGATTGCTGGTCAGGTATACATATTGTAGGATGTACCTCTATTGGCATTTGTCTCAAGATTAGACTGAGGTTATGGCTTTTGGCGAGTAGGAGCTCAGAGGTTAAGTGTCATTTTCATCATCCCCTATGAAGGGTACATACCAACAACATGACTTAGCACTGTTGCCATTCACCTTGATTGTCTGGCTGAAGCAGTGTTTCTCAGGTTTTTCCACTAAAAAAACTACTCTTTTCAGATTAACTTTTGCCGTGGTTCTTTTGAGCATCTCTGAGCTATGTCATTTAAAAATCACATCCCTAATTTCTACCCAGGGAGTCTGCAGATGAGATGGAAGAGTGGCATTGTTATTTGCTTAAGACTTTAGCTATGAATCTGAACCAAGGAAATAATATATTTGCCTTCAAGAGACCATTGTCACCATACTTCCCTGGAATAAGGAGCTGCTCAGTCAGTGCTATAAGATTTTCTTTAGCTTGTGGATATTTGGGGCTAAGGAAAATACTTTAGGAGTTTCAAAGGCCTTGTCTTCTGGTTCTTTTGCAGCTCATGATGGCTGCCTCAACTTCTTTTTCCCCCAGCTAGATTGTCAAAAGAATATTTATATTAATCCTACTTTTGGTGCCCCAAGTTGATTCTCTTCTCTTAGGTTCATGCAGGTGTTGATAATGATTTCTCTTTAAAGCCAGAGCTCCAGTTATAATGTTTGAGTTTTATCTTGACTAGTAATCTCATCAGAGTTTGTTTTCCCCAGTTGCTGATTGGGTGGTTTGAGTGGATAAACCCCGGCATTTTCTAATGATAAGTACATAGTTGTTATTTTCCCGCCAGTTGTGTGGTGTGGTTAAACAAATACTGCCTAGAAATATGGAAACTTGGATTCTGATATCCCAAAATGACTTCATGCATTAACTTTTTGAAAGTCTTTTGACTGCGTTGACTTATTTGAGCTTCCTTAACCCAGGGAGAATCATGAGGGGAGAGAATGTGTTCCCATTTTGTAGAGGGCAGAACCTCAGAAACAGACTTTGACTGAGGCAATAAGTCAAAGAGGAGTCAGGACAAGGGCCAGGTCTTGTGGCTCCAAGGTGTTCATTGTTCACTATCTCAGAGCCCTTAGTGGTCCTCAGGGTGGTCTGGACCTCCCTTGGTAAGCTGGGCAATGGAGGCTTGGCTGGAGCAGGGGTGGGGCAGGGCGTATATGGCATCCAAGCCCTGGGTGTCTCACATGGGGGCATCTAGGTCACTTTTGGAGTGTCTTCATTGCTGGCTTTCCCAAGACCTTAAAAGCCATTGCTGAAAGAGTCTTGCCGGAGGATCTGGCCTATAACTTCCCTCTTGACCAGCCGTAATCAGATCTGAAGATGACAAACTCAGATAAGGAGATAGGCAGGATAGGCACACACACATCCAGGGGGAAGGCAGAGCTGATTGTTACAGAAGATGATTATGTTAGAAACCAAAATGTCTAATACGCTCCTTTCCACTATGAAACTGAACAAACTGGTCATTTTATCAAAATGGCAAGCAGTGTATCGGGTTACCCGACAGCAAAGAAGCCAGAAGTTCCTCCCCAATATCAGCTATTCACATTTTTTATTTAGGCAATTGAGTTTTGTTGATGCCTAAATATTATGAAAAACAAAATGTATGCAAACTGTACATTTTAGAAGGTCATATTTTTTCCCTCGGTATCTAGGGCTTGAATGTACGCATCATCCAAGACGTGCTTTTATGGTTTGTCAACAAGATCACTCCATAAAATTCATTCTGATATCTCACAGCTGTGTATAATTTATTCTGTCTATCCATGCAGCACAAATAAAATTTTTATTTGCATCATCTAAAAAGAAATACCAGTGTATAAATACATAAGCAAAGCTCATAAGAAACAGTCTTCTAACTACAGATACTGCTGGGGAGATATTGTTCAGCCAATTAAAAAGTTGAGAGATGGCTTCATTACCCTGTACACAGATAATAAATACTGCACTCAGCAAATAGTGCAGTTACTCAATTTCTTAAAAAGGTTGCACAACTTTCTACAAGTGCTGGCACAGTCTGCCTCTAAATTCTCCTTGGAATAGTTAGAAATAGAGTCATTTAGAGGAATAAAATTTAGCCAAAAAGGACTTCTTTTAGATTAAGATGCTAGAATATGTAGGTGAAAAGGGAAATGTTCAGTGGTTGGAATATTTTGCCTGCAGGAGAGTAAATAACTGTCTTTCTCTGTTACTAAGAGTCTTGGGGGGAAAAGGTCCAGAGGTCTAAGAATGTTCTTTATATTTGGCTTGTGCAGCTTCAGCCTGGTTATCAAACAGGAGACCCCACAAAGGCCTGCCCCATTTCCCTACGATCAAGGGTGTGGACTTGCTCTCCTGGTTCCTCTGCTGGCGGAGGCATGCTAATGATCAACCAGGAGACCCTGAACTTCATGGGGCCATCTCCTTTCTTCTAAGACATACAGCTTCCCAAACAAGTCCTATTAAATGCAAAGGCTTTTTCTCCAAGTATCTGAGGCCTGGGTGAAAATCCTCTAGGCCTTGAGTATCATGGCTGGAATACCCATGGAAACCATCCTGTTCTCCCTGCTGCAGCTGGGTGGTGGGTGATACAGGACTCCAGATTTGGATTTGACAAGCCCTTGGACAATTGGAGTTGTGACTAACCACTCAATTTAACAATTCACTTGTGTTGGAAACTTAACTGACAGAACTGCCAGGAGTAGTTCATAATCAAATGGGTTTGTTTATATAGAGGAAATTTTAAAATGCTTGCAATCACTTTCTTAACAGTTTTACCTGACTTTTCAAAAGATTAGAATAAAGGTCGTTTAACTGTTGGCACGTGGCATGGTTTTCATTGGTTGAAGGGAAAGTTCAGATGGATCTCCAGTTTTCACTCCAAAATTGCTGGTATTTTGAAGCCTTTATAATCCAATGCAAATAACGCACCAGCTCCCCTTTTAAGATAAGTTCAGTTAGTTGCACCCTGTCATCTGGCTCTGCAGGAGCTCTGTAACTGAATCAGAACTCACTTTGTTTCGATAAATTCCAACATGGGAATTTCACTGAGGATCCTGAGCCAGAGACCTGCGTCTTGGCAAAGCATAGAGAATGACGTCGATGAAACCAGCTGAGTCTTCTGAGGTGAAGCTGTATTTAAGAGATGAGGATCCCAGCAGTGTAGACAGAAGAAGCTGGTTCCATGTGGCATTAGGACGAACTGGCCTGAAGCAGAAAGAATGGGCTTTTTGAATGTAAGTCCTCAGGTCTAGAGCACCTAAAGAGAACCTATCACAAGGCCTACAGTTAGGAAGTAGTTGAGTGAGTGAGCGAGCAAACAGCTAATGCATGGTAGAGATGCTGCTGATGCCGGGGTATGCCTTACTCCAAAGCCCCTGCTTGTAGTGATGCTGTACTACCTTGGGGCACACTGAGGGCATGAAAGCAAGCCACTGGATGAGGTTCATATATTTAAGATCTCCACGCTTCCCTGGCTGCCCCATCTGTAGCCAGGAGGAGGACTTCTGATGTCTTCCACTCAGATAGCCCATTCTTTCCACCTCCATCCAGCCCTCCACCAGTGTCCACAGATGTCACCACCTGGAGCCAGCCTCCTCTGCTTGCACAGCTGGAACCCTCGTCTCCTGAATAGGAGTTCATCCCTGAAGACTCTGCTTATGCCAGCTCTGAGCACCACCCTCCTCCTTGCTCACCTGGCTCATGGTCCTTTCTCTCCCTCGCTCCTCCCCAGGTGGCCGAGTGGCCCAGCTCACCCCTCTGCCACTGCCTGTTCCCTTGGCCCTTAACAACTGAGAGTTTTAAATGCTTTGTGACCAGCTTGAGAATTTTCCAGAAAGGTTGTGTCAGACAGTTAATACTCAAGCAGTAATCCTTTTGTAACCTGAATATAACTGCAGACTTCCACACTGAGAATGATAAAATGGTGTGGATTTAAAAGTATTTGGGGAACTGTAAAATGTCTAGGATTAAAATTTCAATACCATTTGTGCTCAATAAATGTGAACTCTTTAGTAACTTAAAACTGTGCTATTATGACTCAGGTCTGAAAATTATGAGTCCTGGTCGAAGAAATGGGAATAACATGTGAGAGAATCTGCTCCCATCCTTTACCTTGAGGGATATACTGTGGTTGCACCAAATAGCAGGAGCGTGACCTCATAGGAGAGCAAGCCCAGAGAAATTACTGTATTTGTTAAGAAAGCAATACACTCTCCAGAAGAGAAAAATGTTATACTTTCCATTAGGATTGTTTATGGAAATGGGGCTAAATTGAACCTGTGTCATTATATTAACTGATTCGACAGACAGGACCCCAAGAAACAAGATCATATAATAGTTTATTGAATGGCTTAATTTTTTTTTTTTTTTTTTTTACGTAAACCAGTCTAGTCAGTCTGAACTGGCAAATTAATTTTGTCTATAGCATCACTCACCGAAGCATATAAAATTAGCCTCCATAAGTACAGAGAGGCGGATTGGCATTGTGTTTAACTGATTCGCTGGGACTTAAGTAAATGGATTTGGTCTTAATAGAGCTAAAGCCTTAAGACTTTTAATAGAGGGCTGATCTTAAGGAAAGCATTAATTCATCATTTAAAAAGTCTTGTGCATTTTTGTTGCTTGTTGAAGGATGGAATTATATACTGTGACTATGATAATCACCCAGCACGTGCTGTAGGTCTTGAAGAAAAAAATTAACTTTTGTTTTTTTTAAGTTATAAAATTTTATGGTTAGATTGACAGAGAATTCATCAGTTTTAGCACTTGTGGCTTAATAGATTACGGTGTTTCCTTGGCGTTATTCAACTTCCAGATATTTTCACCGACATTTACATCATAAGCTTCTGATCCCAAACTCTTCCCGACTCGAATGAAGACTGGGGCTGTTTCGTTTTGTCTTTTTGATGCAGGGGTGAACTTGGGAAGCAAGTTAGCACCTTCCATGGAACAGGCCCAAAGGCAGGAGTCGGGAGGAGCCTCTGAGGTCCTCAGTGCCTCTCTTTTGAGTGGAGACCTCTGGAACCCGATGGACAGCATCGACTCAAAGGTCAGTTTTTTTCGTTTTTGTTTTCTTCTTGACTTTTCAGGACCAAAGTTTTAAAATCACATTTACTGCATTCATATTCTTTTATTCGTTTGCCTTTATTTTAATGCTAACTTGATCATTATAAAGTGAAATCTTTATTCTTATGAAGATAAAATACAAACCAATTTTGATGTATCAGTTCTGATGGGTGGCCAGCATTATTTGCATCTCTTGAAAGTCATTTTTCAAACACACGTCAGGGGTTGCATTTCTTGATATACAACTTCCGTGTTTGTTTTCCTTGAGTGTTGGGTATTTTTCTATATTTATGTCTCTTTCATTAACATTTTGATGTTATCGATCGATTATTGGTAGAAACACTGTAATGCCACTTAAAAAAATTTGTAATGAATTTTAATGCAGTTTTATACTTTGTTTACTTTGACGTGTTTCATTTGAGCCTTCTATGATATGAAAGAATAATATAAAATGATTGAAATATTAGTGATTAAATTTAATATTTTGATGAGTTTTATCTGCCAGATCTATGTGACTTTCTTCAATTTCACAACTTGTTGGAACAGTTGGGAAGTGATAAAATCTATAGAAATATGAGCTCTTTGGAGAGATGATACAGATGGCTTTGTCCTTTTGTTATATGGGAATATTTTTAGATTGTCTTTTGTAATGGAAAACAGATTTTTTTAAAGAGCAGTTGAGATCGCGAAAATCCTCAGTAGCTTTCTGGCAGGGCCACAGTGGGCCACCTTTATGTGGGTAATGATAAGATGATTTACATCATTCATTCTTGTCTAGAAAGGCTTTCAGTTGAAAGTGAGCTTTCAGAAAGGTTGGAGGTTTGGTTAAAGGGTCTAAATGCCAAACCTACACTTTTTGAATATTTTTGTTTCATGGAGACTGTTGCAAATTGAATATACAAAGTACAAGTCAATCATGGTAGTATTGATGTTTCCTGGAAGAAAAACTTAAGACATTAAAAAACATTTCATCTTGCCGTTAATCAGCAAAATTAGAAATGATTTGATAGGTGCAGTAAAAGAGAAGCATACTATTTTATAAAGAAAGTCTGTCTTTAAAATATTTATTGAAACTAATTAATAATACAAGAATATGGAACAATCTAAAGTTTCTTGGGTTGGTGGAAGCTGTTATGGGGCTTTTCCTGGTGGTTGGGTCGCCAGATTTAGCAAATAAAAGTACAGCATGCCCCGTTAAACTTGGGCTTTAGATAAACAAGGAATTTTTTTATATAAGTATATCCCATGCAATATTTGGGACATACTTATACCAAAAAATTCCTTGTAGTTTATCTGAAATCCAAATTTAACTGGTGTCCTGTATTTCCTCTGGCGGCCCTCCTTGTGGGGAGTCAGAGCAACAGCTGATAAGGCTTGCCGGTGTGCCACTGGACTGGACCAGCTCAGGTCAGCTCTGGTTTCCGACCTCCAGCTTCATCTTTCTTACCAGTCAACCATCTTGCAGACATCATGAGGCGTGCCTGAGGAGGAACTGGCATGTCTGCTGTTGGCCAACCTTACAACCTGATGATCGTGGGCCACCAGCAGCACCATATTTATAGAACGCAAGGGAAAACCCTTTCTGTGTGATAGCTGTCCCAGCTCCTCTGGGATTGGACGTCCAGTAATAGAATCCTGCAGGCAGCAGGCACATACCCTCTGCAGGCACACACCCACTGCACTAAAATTGCTTACTGACATTATTTAAGGGAATAGGGACCTAGGGGATTTGGGGAATGGCATTGTGTTGTAATGCCATGGGGCACATCTCAACATATGGCTCATGGAATCAGCACTGTGGCTGTATAATTGCAGTGTGTGTCCATACGTGCTGGCTAACCAAGACCCTGCATGGAGAGGGGTGCATGTAAATGTCTGTTAATATGCGTGTACATGTTTGCCTAATTCCCCACGGGGTGAGGTGTATACCTGTTGTAGGATTTGGGATTCTGGCTCATGACATATGTGTCTTTCCTTGTTATCAAATATAACGGTGAATGTTTTTATTTTAAACTGCATCAACAGAGTGTATCTTCAAGTATACAAGACACACTTATATTAATAAATATTTTTGTGGCACAACTGTGCCTGCCGTGTCTTAGAATATAGACTTTTAGGTTAGCATTCTTGCTCTCCTGCTCTCCTGTTTTATTCCTTGCTCTCCTGTTTCTTTCTATTCGGCCAGTTTTAACTGAGCACCTACTGTGGACCAGGCGCAGGCACACAGTTAATGAAGAAGGCAGACGAGCTTTCTGTCCCTGAGCAACTTACATTCTAATGAGGGAAATGTAAGCAAAACAAATTCAAATTGTGAAAAGTGTTAAGAAAGAAACAACACGTTATTATAGGGACTCACAGGGGAGATATATTTCGATAGGTTGCCAGGGAAGACCTTTCTAAGAAGATGAGAAGCTGTTAAACTTTTTCGATAAGTTTAGAAGAGTCAGACTTGTGGAGAGTGGGTGAAAGGCTGATGTGCAAGGAGCAGGGAGGAGCCTGGTGTGTCCGGAGTGGGGAAGATGAGACAGATGGCTTTGGGATGATGTGGGAGTAGCCGGGCCAAGCACGCGGCCAGGTTGAGTGGGTCCATGTGACCTCACTGTAGACATAGCAGCCTGTAGAAAACAAACGCTCATCGTGAGAAGATGGTAAACTGTCACCCTCTTTCTCTGATCGTTAGACACTCTGATTTTAGATGACTTACCAAACCGTAACAGTAATTCTTTCCCTTATCCTGCCCGGAGGTAACTCATGCGGTATTCACAATAGTGAAAGGCATTCCTTAGACATATAGAAACATCTAACTCTTAAACATCCTATCTATCTGGATGGCCATCAGAAGTCCAGTGAACAGGACCTGGGAGTGTGAACAGATGGTTTCTATTTGGGAGAGACACAAGACCCTGGGAACTCATGCAGTGACGTAGAGAAGGGACCTGAAACTCCAAGTTAGGCCCCTCTGGTTTCCCTCCAGACCTGTGTGGCCATAAGGCCACCCCTGTGTGCTGCAGGCTGAACTGATCACTTGCCCCACTGTGCTTGTTTCAAAGCACAAAGTGCTCGGGGATGAAAGGCAGTAACAAGTTCCCGGGAGTTAATCATTCACTCACAAATATGTATTAAGGGCCTGTTGTGCACTAGGCACTGTTCTTGGTGTTGGAGCCTCATGTCTGCTCTCATGGAGCTTCCACCAACTGTAAGAGGGAAACACGTAAACAAATAAATAGTATGGTTAGAGGTGCTGCTACGTGCCAGAGGAAAAATGCTGCAGGCCAAGGGTAAAGGGTCAGAGGTGGGGTTCTTGTGGATGGGGTGGTCAGGAGATGTCTTCTTGTGGAGATTACATCTGAACAGTGACCTGAAGGAGATGACTGGTGAGCCAGTCATGCAGAGATTTGGGGAAGAATGTCTAGGCAGAGGGAACAGCAAGTGTAAGGGTGGAACAGAGGGAGAGAAGGACTGAGTGCAAAAAAGGTTGGCAGGGCCCGGATGATGTAGGGCTGGGGAGGGAAGGTACCGCAGGGCTTTGAACCTGGTTGTGACAGTGGGTTTTAACAGAGCTCTGACAGCTGTGCAAAGACCCCAGCATGGGCCCTGAGTGGAAAAAAGGAGAGGAGTGGGAGGCTGGTGCAACATCCGGGGAAGAGAGGGATGCAGCTCACCCGGGCAGTGCTGAGAAGGGGTCAGATTGAAGGGAGAGTCCATCGGACTTGCCAGAGGATTAGAGCCATTTTGTACCTACTAACTAAGTGGGCGGTGGTGCCGTCATAAACACCCCCAAAGAGAAAGGAATCCCTTCTTAATTTGGTTTTCACTACATCATTGACTTACCACCCATAGCGGTTCTCAGCCTGGTTGCATATTAGAATCACCAGGAAACTTTTATAAATAGCAATGTCCAGAGTCTAGTCTTTGAGAGTCTGATTTAACTGGTTTGGGGGAAGGCCCAGGCAGCTTCCTTTTTACAAAGTGCTCCCAGGGGATTCTCACGAACACGCAGGTTTAGAACCCCAGACCTGGAGGAAATTGCTGCTGCGTGCAGTGATGGCCTGCTGGTCAACTTGATCCAGCTGATGCAGGCGGAAGTCAGATGCTCTGTTTCACCTGTGATTAAAATATATCTGAATGGGATGTAATTATGTCCTTTGCAAATCAGGAATCAAGCCTTCATTGCCAATGGTAATTTAATTGAAAGAGTAGAGGAATGGGAAAGAGTGTGACCTTCGCACGTTGGCCAGCTTCCAGTTTTGTTTGCTGCATGTTGCTTTGGTCTATAACGTGAGGATGAGCTTGTCAGCTTTTCCTCCCTCTTAGGGTCATTGTAAGGATGAGATGAAACGATGGCTATAAAAATGCATTGGAAACTGAAAAACTACTACACAACTGTAAGGTGATATTGAAAGTTTAAAGTGTCTTTAGGGACCAATCTCCAATTTCATGTCTTGAAAAAATCACCCCTGGAACCAGGGAAGACGTGTCAAGATGTGATTGATGGTGAGATGACCTCAGTTGAGCTCAGCCTTTTGAATGCTCCAGGAAATTTCCAATTTCCAGCTTTCTCACATGAGAATGAAATTATGGAAATAGTACGTGAAATGGAAAATAAAAAGGCAAATGGATTAGAACATGAAACCGAAGCTTCCCTTAGCATATTGCAGGTCTTAAATATCAAATAGCAACTAATTAAAATGGCAGGGGGAGGTTCTGCTCTACACGTTTCCAGTCGCTTTGTTTCACAGCTGAGAACCCCAAGCCCTGCTTCTCCCCCGAGGAACCATCCCCTCTCATCCCTTCCGGTCAGACTCCTGGAAGAGAGGTTTGCCTCCTCGCTGCGTCCTCTCTGCAGCCCTCCGCAGTAGCTTCCACTCCTGACGCTTCATCACGGATGCTCCTGCCGAGGTCACAGGTAGCCTCCCGACTTCCGAACCCAGAGCATGCCTTTCTCTCTTTATCTCATTTGTCTTGACACCGCTTCACTCTCCT